CAACACCCTATCCCCCACTTTGAATTCTAATGGCCTCCACCCTTTGTCAACATACTCTTTCATCCGCTTGTCTGCCTTAGCCAACTATCTTGTGCTTCATCTAGCATACCTTGTTTAACTGTTGTAAACCAGTATGCTGCTGGACATCTACCCTCTGAGCCAATCCTTGCCATTTCATGCGGAGTGAGGGGCTGTTACCCCGTTGCTAATTCAAACAGACTCATACCCGTGGCAGATGACTGATACAAATTATAACAAAATTATGCACTATCCAACAGATCAATCTAATTCCTCTGACTTGCAGTCACATAACGTCGGAGGTATTCTTCCACCAAAGCATTCATTCTCTCAGTCTGTCCATCCGTCTAAGGATGATTTGTTGTAGAAAACTTTAATTCGGATCTCATCAAGTTAAATAGAACAGTCCAAAACTGCCCCGTAAATCTGGTATCCCTGTTACTAACAATATCCTGGGGTAAACCAAAATACTTCACCACATATTTATAAAATAAGTCTGCCGTAACATCGACAGGACAAGCATGAGGAGCAGGGATAAACCCAACATATTTAGAGAAACGATCAACAACAACCATAACAGAACGCATACCGTTCACCTTTAGCAATCCGGATATGAAGTCCATGGAAACAGACACCCAAGGCTTCGTTGGAATAGGCAACGATTGCAATAGTCCAGCCATTTTCTTTCACTCTGTCTTGTCTAGTTGGCACACTAAGCAAGTTCTGACATAGGCTTCAACATCTTATTCCATCTTTGGCCAACAATAAGAACGAGACAATAAAGCCATCATGCGTTGTTACCCGGGGTGACCCACCCATTGCGGATCGTGAGTTTCTCTAAGCAACTCCAATCTTAGCCCTCTAACACTAAGGACATATAATCTATCCCCTTTGTCATGAAGAAGATTATCTTCCAACCAATAGCGACGCACAATGCCATCCTTCACTTGCTGAACCAGCCTTTGATATTCAAAATCAATTGCAGCACTTGCCTGAATCCTTTCCAACAATTGAGTTTCAATGTTTGAGATCGCAGAGACATAGTCCAAAATTTCCTTCCGACTCAAAGCATCAGCAACCTAGTTGTAACGCCCAGGCTTATGTCGTCATTCAAAGTCATACTCTTCAAGGAACTCTTGCCATCTAACCTGCCTTGGAGACAACTTCTTTTGTGTTTTGAAGAAAGTATTTGCCACATTGTCCGTCAACACTACGAATTTGGTTCCCAACAGGTAAACTCTCCAAATTTGAAGACAATGCATAACCGCTGTCATTTTCTTCTCATGGGCAAAATACTTCTTCTCAGCATAATTTAACTTCCGACTCTCGAACGCAACCGGGTGCCCTTCTTGCACCAAAACATCACCAATAGCTTTATCAGAAGCGCTAGTATGCAATTCAAATAGAAGTTCAAAATTAGGTAACCGTAAAACAGGTTCACTTGCAACAGCAACTTTTAATTTGTCAAAGGCCGCTTGACAACTTTCATTCCACTTCCATAGTTTGTCCTTTTTGAGCAAATCTGTGAGAGGTGCTGCCTTCTTTGAGTATCCCTCAATGAACTTTCTATAATAATTAGCCAAACCCAAAAAGGATCACAACTTAGCCACTTTGCTTGGTGCTTACCAATCCATGATTGCTTGCACTTTTCTGTTGTCCATTTTCACAAGGCCTTTGCAAATTACATGCCCCAAGAATTTTATTTCCTGCTAGGCAAACTCACATTTTTCTTTCTTGACATACAACTGGTGCTCTCATAATCAAGTGAACACCATCCGAAGGTGGGTCAAGTGATCCTCTAAGGACTCACTATATATTACAATGTCTTCCAAATAAACAACAACAAACCGATCGACATAATTATGGAATACATCGTTCATAAGATTACAAAATGTAGCTGGGGCATTAGTTAACCCAAACAGCATTACTATGAACTCAAAAGACCCATACCTTGTAACACATGTGGTCTTTGACTCATCCCCTTCAGCCACTCGAACTTGCCAATAGCCAGCACGTAAATCCAATTTCGTGAAGTAAGTGGCCTTGCACAATCGATCAAATAGGTCTGCCACCAAAGGGATTGGGTATTTGTTATTTCTTGTCACTTTGTTGAGAGCCCAATAATCAACACACATACACAAGCTTCCATCTTTCTTCTTTTAAAAAAGCACTGGGACACTATAAGGGGCCTTGGATGGTTGAACCAATCCAGCATTCAATAAGTCCGTCAATTACCTTCGCAATTCTGTGAGTTCCATTGGAGACATTCTGTAGGGTGCCTTTGATGGAGGCTTAGCACCCAGTACCAACTTTATCTTGTGATCGGTGGCATGCCGAGGAGGAAAAGACCTTGGTAACTCCGGAGGCATCACATCCTCAAATTCCCTCAACACATCTATGCTAGACACCATTTAGAGCACAACTTGGCTCTAATACCAATTGTTATAGGGTCAATTTTCGTTTTAAATTTTCTGCCTACAATGGCACTAAGTTACAACACTTAGTCTTAGCCAAACATGCACGAATTACCCACTATGAGTTTTGTAAACAAGCAAGCATACACAAACATATTACAGGAACCACTCCCAACCTTTATTACCACCGGATAATACAAGGATACATGAGTTTTCGTACAGATAACATGATCTTTTAAACTCTCTATGCCTTAACATTTTATAGTCATTTTACAAATCGGTTATGAGCAGTTGACACCCCCAACTGCTAGGATAAATTCAAACCAACAAGGGTGCTGCAGAATATAACTACTGGTAACCGCTTGGAACTGTCTTGGACCAGTTCCTTAATTTTAGCATTCTTTGTAATGATTTCTTGCAAGCCTAACTGCCAATAATTGCCTTGTCTATCAGCTTTGCATCATGCCAGTAAAACTGCTATAAACTGCCTATCCATCTCAGCCTTTGAATCTTCCTGAGTTTGATCCACGAAATTGTAAGTCTTGGTCTGCCATTAAGTGTCAAGCCCACTAATCTGTCTGACCCAACAAGTCCATGCTGCCAGCAGCATTCGGGCTAAGTATAGCCTTTCATTTGTCCACAAGCATCACTTGTCTTTGAGTCTTGTGGCATTGTCACTACCACATTGTTACCTTGACTTAGGCATGCCTCCCTCATGCCTGACTTGGACGGTTGACATAGGTGCAAGGTGCTACCGCATGCCAACCTAAGTGTCCAAGTCTTAAGGTGCTAACATTAAACCACCATGTTGAACTTTTTTTTTCTCTTTCTTTTTGAAGATTGTAGGATGTTAATTTTGTTAGTAAACCCCAGGTTTATGTTGAATTTAATTGTTTAGTGTAGTTTATTATAGGGCAAATTACATATACACCCCTCGAGGTTTGGTAAAATTACAGATACCCCCCTGAGGTTTCGGAAATTACATCCCGCCCCCTGAGGTTTGTATTTTCATAACAATTTACCCCCTGAGGTTTATATTTCATAACAAATTACCCCCTAATTTCTTATGTAAATATAGCATTCTCTTTCTTTTTGAAGATTGTAGGATGTTAATTTTGTTAGTAAACCCCAGGTTTATGTTGAATTTAATTGTTTAGTGTAGTTTATTATAAGATAAAAATTGATAATTAAATAATAGAAATTAAACACACCATTACTCAAACTTTTAGATAATTAATTTTTTTTTTAATTTAGCTAAGTTATTTATACCTAACTATACTAAATAATTTGTCACAAATTATGAAAATAAAATATTTTAAAAATAAAATAAACCATAAACAATTCAAATAAGTTTCCCCAAACAGCATATTTGAACAGTCCATGCTGTCTCATTTAAGAGGACTCATGCTAACCACCACCATAATTAATAGGACAAATTATACTAACCTCCTCTGATATTTATATCAATTGCAGATACCTCCTCTCAAGTTGTTAAAATGACAATTACCTCTCCTAAGTTGTCCTACGTCAAATGACTGAACCAAAATTAGTCTTAGTTTTTAAAATGACAATTACCTCCCCACCATAATTAGTCTTAATTGGTTTATTAAATGACTGAACTAACATTTTAATGTACAAATGAACTCTAAAATAATTATAGTATCAAATTTTTGCAAAGGCTGTCTTTAGTGGGTTTACTATGTGATTCATGTATTAAAAATATAAAATTTGAAAAATAGTTCTATAAAAAACCGTTACCTTTTTTATTTTTTTTAAAGAAAAAAATTGTATTTGTAAAAACAAAATGATTTTTTGTTGTGTTTATAAAATAAAATAATAATAACAAGAAGCAGAAGTTTGGTTTTCTTTAAAACACTAGCATCATTAATTTTGGAATGTAGTTAAGAGGACTTATATTTTTTAATGTTGTAGAGCTGATATCTGTTTATTAAAATGAATGAAGGGTAAAGTGGGAATTTTAAACAGAAATCATCCATTCTAATTCCCTATCAAAAAATCTAGGTACACAAAATATCAAACATAGATTCGGAAGAATGGTCGGAACTTGTCGACTGCAGCTGTCATAGTCTTGATTGTGGTTGTCATCTTTGTCAGAACTTGTCGACCGTGACTGTTATAGTGTCGATTGCGGCTATCATGGTGTCTTCTAATCATTCGATGGAACAATTTTTGTGTTTGATTTCTATGTACGTAACATTGCTGATTCTTTATTGATAGAAAAGTAACAGTGGAGAAGTAACTAAATTACTATTGCAAAGCAGAGGGTTGTCATTTCAAAAACCTGAGAGGAGGTATTTATAATTGTCACAAATTTTAAGGGAGGTTAGTGTAATTTATCCTAATTAATATATAATATAATGTATTATAATAATAATATATATATTTATATATAAATTTATAAATGTATCAAAACATACTGTACCGGCCTTGACTGCGGACCACGCTTGCTTATGCACCAAATTTTGAATAAAAAATAGGACCCTAATAATTTGAGCCTTTATAATACTGGTAAATTGAAAAATAGAGTCCAATTTAATTAGTAACTTTATGGATAAAAATGCAAGGAAAGTAAGGTTTAAGTGATATTTTGGTATAACTTTAGACAATGTTTTTATTCTCGGTGTAAATTAAATTTTTTTAAACTCAAGATTGAAATTCTAAATATTTTTAATATTATCTCATTATCAATAAATACTCAATGGGTCAATAAATAAAAATACAAACACATCTATTTTAATAATTATTATTTATTGAATTAAAATGACATAATCTATTAAATTAAGAGGCAAAATCGAACAAATTAAAAAGATCAAATTGACACATCATGTAAACTATAAGGATTATTTACATAATTTACTCTTTATTTTCGTATGTGTAAATAAGTATAAGGAGATGTAATTATAGCTTAACTGATCTCCAATTCAACACTCAACTAATCTCTTTCTTTCTTTTCATAGCTCCTCCCCCCTCTCCCTTATTCGGCATCGACTTCGTCCCGTCCAACTTCACATCGTCACCCCACCACCACCACCGCCTACTTCCGGTGGCCCTACCGCCTCAAACCACCGCTACGGAGACGAAAGCCGCCAACCATCCGCCTCGGAGGGAAGAAGAAGCACCGGCGAGGACTCCTCTTGGGAAGACTATTCCGGCGAGCCCGACTGCGGTGGTTGAAGCTCAAGTACTCATGCATGATCAATAAGCTCAAGCAGTACTACAGGTCTATTGTGAGAGAAATGACTGAAGCTAGTGGAAGCATTGAGTCAGTTCAACAAAGGATTCTGATGGAGACCTCTTTTGCCATTCCTGTCATGGGTATTTCTTTCTATAGCTTCCCAAATGCTTATGGTATGGATCGCGTTTGACTTGACCTATCATCACCATGTGAAAAGATTCACATTTTCTTGACATGTTTGTGTTTGTTTTAATGTTTTTATATCTTTGGTTCAAAAAAAAAATATTATATCTTGGTTTAATTTTGATCACGTTAAGGATATGATAAACCACCATCCTATGAATTCTCCCATTCTCATTAGATAGCTATGATGGATCAGTATTCTCCCCAAATCGTTCATTTTGTAGTTCTTTAACAGATTTTTATGAAAAAAAAAAATGTTATATTTATTTCAATATATTTGGCAAATATAATTTTTAATAGTGTTCCATCCATTCAATTTTCTTTTCTCCCTATTTCTTAATGAGCTGAAAGACGGATAGAATGTAAGGAGAGTTTTAAGAGAATATTTTATTGTGAATTAATTTTTTAAATTTTACATGCCACGTCATTTGATGGGTTTAGGTGAAAAAAATTGTGTGAAATAATATTTGTTTATAATTTTAAAGAATAATGTTATATGCATCAATTGGTATATTAAGTAGTGTATAAATTGACGATGTGACATAATTTAAAAAATTTTTTATATTTATAATATTATTAATAAATATGATCAATAATGAGTTCATATCTAATATTAAGACACTAATTAATACATATATAATGACACATGATAAAGGAGCATGCTTGTATTCTTTAATTGAGTCGGAGAGGTGACTGAGTTGTGGGTCCACTTCATCCCCATCTTGGTATCGTTGATGAAAAAATTAATTTGATCAAATGTTCATATTTATACAGTGGAAACACATTCGTCTTAAGAAATTAAATGGTAATTATAATTTTAAAAATAATTCATTTATTATTATTATTATTATTATTATTATTATTTATATTTAAAAATAAGTACGAGTTGATCGCGTGATTATTAATATTTAATTAACTTAAATTTTTATATAAATAATATATTTGACAAAATCTATAACATGAACAGTTTGGATTATTGAAATAGACATGAAATGGACCTACAGGCCCCCAAATTGATTTCTTGTGATGATTTCTTGACAGCATACGGCGTGAAGTGGGCTTACAACCTACCAAATTGATTTCTCGTGTCAATAAAATCACATACGGTTATGATTATTAAATTAATTTATTTTTTTGTAAATGATCCAACCACAAAATAAACAACTCAAAAAAGAGATGTGATGGTCCCTTGGTGCCAACAACACTGTCCAGTATAGAATCCCCTCCCATCTAAGGATTTTTGCTTTTAAAGATGGATAAAACCATGTTTGTTTCCTAGGAAAATACTTTCTCGTCCTGGAAAGAAAAATAATTAATATGCATACTAGCATGTATATGAATCTGGGATTGAATTCTGGTCCAGCTTAACGTGACAAGACGGTCAAAGCACGTCTTGATGTGAGTTAATTGTTACAAGTTTCAAGCTATTTTATGAATATGAAACTAAGTGATTGGAGACCTCTTATATTTAATTTGCAATAAAACAGTAATCATCGATATACAAATAAACATATATATTTTTTTTAACTCATTTTGATTGTTTCTATTATAGAAGAGTATAAAATTTGTTAGGCTACATGCCTTATATTTTTATTGGGTTTCATTATCTATGTAGTATTTTACTCTAAGATAGTTATATTACATGTTATATTATAACACGGTATCATTATTACTCTAAAATTTTAAAGGTAAAGTAATAAATTAAGGATCTTCCCAAAATATTATTAGATTCATAAAAAAGTTTATCACTAATGTGAAACTTTTTTTTTTTTTTCAAATTTAGGCTGAATTTTTATTTTCTCAATTTTAAACCACAACCTACATAGATTGTGATCCTCTCTATTGCATCCTTTTTCTTTTTTACTCTCTACATTCAATCTTCTTCCTCTCTATCTCTTATGCTTTATGCTGACTTTCCCATGTCATTAAATATTATTAATTTTTGGGCAAATTACAAACACCCCCTCAAGGTTTGGTATAAATACAGATTTCCTCTTGAAGTTTGAGAAATTACAAATTGCCCCTTGAGGGTCAAATTTTCATAACAAATTAGGGAAAATTAGGGAGGAATCTGTATGAAATAAAAACCTCAAGGGTCAATTTGTTATGAAAATATAAACCTCAGGGGCGGGATATAATTTCTCAAACCTTAGGAAAGAATCTGTATTTTTATCAAATCTCGAGGGGGTGTTTGTAATTTGCCCTTAATTTTAAATTAGTTTGGATAGAAATTATGTTACATATGTAATTTTATTAAAAATATTATTTATTTTATTTTATTGTTTATTAAACATTAGTTAGTGGTAGGGCTATGGGGTCATGAGTTATTAGATTAGTGGGTAATTGTCCACTATTATAAGATCATGGGTTTAGTGGATTGTAATTTTATTGTATATAAACCATATCTATTAATAAAAGAACTGAATTTTCTTTTTTTATTAGAACTCGTCAATGGTGAAGAATAGAAGATCAGGTTTACCTCAGTGTGAACTAATTGAAGGTCTTTCCTTCGAAGTGAATCTTTTCTCCCTATTTTTGTTTTTTTGTTTTTATCTCTGTTAGTTTTGTTAATAAAAATATACGTAACGGATTAATATTGGTGTATATTTTTCGATAAAGTGATTAATTAAAATAAAATTTAAACGATTGTATTATATGCCCAAAAGTCATTTACATAATGATTGACAAGGAAGGCACAGTGCTACTTGTTTGAATTTGGAAAAGTTGGACTTTGAAGGAGATTGAAAATTTAAATGCACAAGTGATAAATCACATTCGACTACCAAATAAGACAACTGTCCATCAATATGAATCATATTTTAGGGCACCATCAAATCAAATATCCTAAAAAATATGAAACATTGTCTGTGTCAAGAGCTTTCTAGTTTTTGATAATTTGTTTCATAAATTGGAACTTTCATGTTTGAGGCCTCAACTCACAGCCACTCGTGTTACAAAAATGTTTAAAACCTCTAAATGAGGAGTTCTAGAAGGAGCTCTAGAGGCTGACTCCACCTTATGATTTGATGTTTTGACTTGTAATGTTATATTTTTTTCTTTTTTTCTTTTTTTATGTATTGTCACGTCACTAAAGTTGGCATTAGAGCTCCAACTTTAGTACTCTCTATCATCACTCTTTTGTTATAGTTTGGTTTGGGTAGAAAGCAACATTTGTGGAAGAAAATAAAGTAAAAAATAAAAGAAATATTTCCTTACAAATATTTGATTAAAATGAAAATTTTATAAGAAAAAATAGAGGAATTTTAAATTTTAGTTATAGAACTACTTGTATAAACACATTTAAATTTTCATGTATTTTTTTTCTTTTTCTTTTTCTTTTTTTTGTAAGAAATTAAAAAATCAATTACAATACTAATATGGATTGTATAAGAAAATTAACTTTCTTCTACTTTCTATTATTTCATATTAAAAAAATTTCCTCTCTTTCAATCATTTTTACCCTAAACAAGCTCAGCCTAAATTATCTTAGATTAATTTTTATTTTTTGTGTGTGTATATTTTCAAGGTTTGAAAGTTTTTATTTATTTATTTATTTATTTTTATTTTTTTTGGGGGTGAATAAAGGGGTTTGAAAGTTAAAATATGAAATAACTTTTATATCATCAATTTTTATAAAATAAATCTCAACTATTCAAAAAAATTTATTTCAAGATCACTTTCGAAAAAATAAGTGTAGATGATCTGGACTCCCAAGATAAAAGTGTATCAATACATCATTGACACTTGCTTTTATTCACATAGTTGATCAAATGTATCTATAGGATCAATATGTTGTGTGTACTGTCACTTATGATTTGATGGACCTAAAATTAATCGAATTCAACTCGTGTTCAATTCGTTAAAAATTTGTTCTTAATTTGTTATATAAATAAGTTAAGTTTGATTAATTTATTATTTGATTTAACTCAATTATATATATTATTAAAAATTAAGTTACTTGAATTCGGCCGAGTAAAGCTCGTTTGATATTAACTCAAAAGCTAAACAAATCAAACTTGTATATATTTTAAAATTCTTTAAGTTTTTAAGTCAAACATAAATAATCTATTAGTCAATTAGGCTTAGCTTATTTGCAACTCTAGATATGCTTAAAGTTACAACATAATATAATTGAATTATGACACATAAATAATCTATTAGTCAATTAGGCTTAGCTTATTTGCAACTCTAGATAGGCTTAAAACTACAACTTAATATAATTGAATTATGACACAATGCGATGAATCACAATTGAGTCAGAAAAATTAACGATTAAATGACTATTGTTTGGTCTAATATATGAAATTATTTATAATTTTTTTTATTTTGGAGGAATATGTGTTAAAGTGCTTGGTACAATTTATATTTACAGATTATAAGATAGAAACAATTTAAATAAATTAAAAAATTATTTTTTTTACTTTATGATCTTGTAACTTTTAAAGTTTCAATCACAAAGCTGTCCATGATATATACTATTGACCATGTTGGGCCCCAAAAAATAAGCCTAGAAAACATGGGGCGCATACATGACATGATATAGGAGCAGCTTATTTTCAGAATTAGGTTGGGTTGTAAGAATTGTTGGTGAAAAGATTGTTAGTATGAGAATTATTAGTGAAAAGATTAAGAAAAAATATATTTACTTGTGACATGGATAGGCCCATAAGGCTTACAGCCCACAGCAAACAACCCCAAACCCATCGCTTGGGACCCATAGCATAACCCGGCTGGCAAAGCCCAGGACAACTGGAGGCCATCTAGGCATGGAGGGCCAATGACATTCGAGCACATGGCAGGAGAAACACAGACCACATCAGCAGACAAAGATCTGCAGAGTTATTACCACAACACATCACCATTAATGCAATCCATCACAGCATTTATTACGACAACACCTCCCCGTTGAAACAGAGCCCCCTCACCCTGAACAAGGTAAGCTACGGCACAGGCTTTCGGCGGAGGGGGGCACGTCGTAAGGGACAGTGAAATGATTACCAAAGGATATAAGCAAGAATCGAAGACAAAAGGAAGTTTAAGTTTTTCTATCTCTCTCTCTCCCTCTATATTTCCTTCTTCCTCTACTGATTTGCTCGCCGGAGGGTTCACTGGGGGACT